TACGAATTCGAAAAGAAAAAATTAATAAAATGTATTGAGTAAGAACGAAAGAAAGGTAACAGATTGACAAGCCGAGCGCCAATGCAATAAGATATACATATACATATATACATAATATTTCAAGTTATAAATATATACATTTGTGTGCATGTACATATATACTCATATCCGAGTATGTACATATTCTAATAATCAAAATTTGAGTGGACAAATAATTGAGCGCCAAAACGAATTCATTTCTCATTTATTTTACTTCCTACGTTATTACCACCTCTACGTCCCTTCATTTGCATTTTGATTTGCAGGCTAAAAAACGACGATCGTTTACAAAAACTACGTGAAAAAAGGGTAAAACTTGAGCCTTCAGCTTCTTTCATGCCTACAGACACAGTTAACCCGCATCTCGCAGTCCCTTCCTTCCACCACAACAACAGTATAACAACATCCACATCGGTAGCAGCAACAAGTGGCTTATTAAACTGATATCTTCCAAGGTTGTATGCTGAGCTTTACACACTGGGACCACTGGGATCACTTGGCTACTTGACTGAAAAACCGTTGGCAATCATTAATAATATCGCCACAGTCGGGACATTTGCGACAACGTCGAACACAAAAACTGTCCATTTTTGATTTAGCGATGTCGTTATAAACAGATCCTCGTTGATCGTTGATCGCTGATCGCACAAGTCTCACGGCTGTGTACAACTTTACGATCTCATGATGCATCTTTATCTTGTACGAGTATCTTTGTGCGGTGTCGCGTGGTTCTGATGGTGGTGGTGGTGGCGGTGGCGCAGGCGGTAACTGCGTTGTCGTCTTCATCATTTCACATTCTCAGCTCTTCAATCATTCGTTTCGTTGCAATTCTGGGATTGTTTGTTGTTGAATTAAATCGCATACAAAAGATTGCTCGTATTCAAATGATACTTATGGCGCATGCTTAGTCATCTTTTGTTAGTGCGTGACCGTCATATTATATGTGGTAGGCATTTATTAAGTTCGATATATATATATATATATATATGTACGTACATATTTTTCGGTGGGTTGAGTAATAAAATAAGATTTTATTAATGATTTTTGCATATAAAACATTCAATAATTAATAAAAAAAAATATTATAACTAAATCATTGCATTGGCTTTTCTATGTTGTTGTAAAATATATACATTTTCCGTTTTAAAATAAACCATAGGCAGTTCTGGTCAGGTCTGTACAGTAGTATTTCAAGCCAACAATTCCAAGGCTTTTCTGAAAGTTTCAACTGAACTAAACTGCGACTATAACCGTGTCACAAATAGCGCTCCATCTGATTTCAATTGAAGTCAATTGGGTACACCAAGCGGCCCTCCCCAGCTCCCATATGAAGGAGAACCATATATTTTGTACAAATCTTTTCTCTCGGAAACTGTTAATGTCAACTCATCAAATGCCAACACTTTTATTAGTTTGGTCTATGTTAGTCGACAAAGGAGTTAATTTTTCAAGTGGCTACTCAGACCAGAACAGCACTTTGGTGCTGACGTTACTATTGGTTTTAATGCTGTCCTAGTCGTGAAGAAGCAGAATTTTTGCTTGATGACAGTATCTGTATATTATACTTTGTCATCTTCTGTCTTCCTTCCAGCAGTTTCACGTTTTATTTACTGAGAGATCGTTCTCAATTATGAACGTATGATTTTGATTAAGTTTCGAGACAGCTCCTTCTCATGAAGTCGATGGCAGGTATAAAATCTTTTCTTACAGGCATTTTTCAAGGGGACTGCCGGTGTTTTTTGAGGCACTGTTTATGTTGAACAGATAATTTTTTTTTTTTGAACTGCGTCGTTTTTTTCAAAGCTTGCTCTTCTGAACTCTCCTAATGTGGAAGGGTAGATTCTAAGTGGTTAACGGTTTTACTTAGACTACTTCATGTTTAAAAATATTAAAGGAATGACAATTTCAGTTATGTTCCGCACTGTAAGATCCTATATTCTAAGAGTACAGGGCTCTACTACATATTGCACTACATTCAAAGTTTACATGAAAGACGCGAGAAGTGTCAAAATACATAAAAAAGTTACAAAAGTCGATTAATGCTTCAAAATCTATACGAATATTATTTAAAAATTGATTCGGTAGCTTGGGGGTTTGACCACGAAAACATGTTTAAAATTCAGCGAAAACATTTAAGGAATCAATCAGACATTTTGAGCCTGAACGATAGAGTATGAGAAAAGTTGTGTTAAAACTGAGTAGAAATAACCATTGACGGCATGTGTCTCTTGCAGATTTATTCAAAACTTTCGACTCAATAAAGAAGCATTTGTACATATATATATATGTTTTAAATAGTATTGAGCCAACATTAAAGGCACCTGTGTCCCAATACCCCCAACCGTAAGGCTGGCAGCTGCTTTGAAACTTTTAGCTTTTAGCATCAAATAGAACAAGATTTTCAATTGGGATTTGCACAGCAGACGATGTCAAAATATGTTTGCAGTGCAATAGAGAAAGTTCTTTGTTCAAAACATACCGCGAACAAAACATAAAGCGAGATGCCAAATGGAATGAAAGCTGCCATTATTTCAAGCTGCCTTATTTTGGCGTCTGCGTTTTTTGATTTATTTTCACTAAAAAATATTTTTTATTAAAACAAAAGATGCCGCTGTGAACTTACATTTTCCAACCGTTTCGAAACTAGCTTCGAATGATATTTGCCATTTTCGAATAGAACTCAGTGTCGCATTCGCGTTAGGTAGTAACGTGACTTTGGCAGTATTCGAATTGAAATGCTATTATAGAACTACGTAGTAGCATTTATTCGAATTCGAACACTTTTTCTTTCAAATCGCAAAACGTAGTAAGGTCCCAGAACTCAATACAAGAATATTATTTCTCCTCTAATATGAAAGTATTTGAAGAAAAACCACATTCTACAATACATATTTGAGATCTAAGGATGCACTCGCACAGCAAATTTGAAAATACAAAAACAAAGCAAACGATATTCCGGGAAGTACAAATTCCGTAGAAGACATGAATAATCCTTTCAAATCCAATTTGCGTTTACAACAAACAGCAGTCATACCTCACGCCCAAATTCAAAACAGAAAATGCAAAAACTATTCATTATGTTGCCGAAACAGTAATTCTTCAAAGGATTAGCAAAATTAATTGAATGTTCTAAACATACACATATTTTCAAACTTGCGGATATATTGGCCAAATATTTGAAACCTGTACTTAAAAATGTTTGTTTTGGAATTTACAACTACAAGTAGACATTATGAATGTCCTTGGCTAGTGCCTGGACTAGCAGATGTTGACTAACTGCATTGGGAAATTCATAGGTTCACAGGTAATGCAGCGGTATATCTGTATATATATATATATATATCAGTCTGGAATTACGTTTGATAGCGTTAGAAAGATGATATTTTGTATTAAAAAATAGAAGGGAGAAGTGTTGATCACTTAACTCAGAAGTGTTTGAGTGCATGCCCATCATGGACGCCACCAAAAAGAAATATGCTATATACTAAATAGTGTTTATGGTCCTGATACCGTAACAGTCAATCACTTCGGTCCGGTGTACAGGGCCAGTTGTCGAAAATGTCGATAAAACAATGGAAATTCTTCAGTCTAAGCGTGATTGGAGTACTGCATAGATTGTCCAACAACTGAACACTGCACAAAAAACAGTTTGGAGCCACTTGAAAAAGGCTGTATGCACAAAGAAGCTCGTTATATGGATGCCACATAAGTTATAGAGGAAAAACCTCAAGGACCGAATTTCCACTTGCGTATCGCTGCTGAATCGCAACAAAATCGATCCATTTCTGAAGCGTGTGGTGAGCTGTGAGGCAGCACAAACGGCCTGGAAGGGTTTGTTGTGTGTTTGGTGGGATTGGCAATTGAGCTGCTCTCCTACGGCCAAACTCTTAAGAAAGTAATCGTTCAGAATCGCTTAGCTTTGGCCAACTGGAGGAGAGTTGTGCTTCATCAGGACAACGCCAGACCGCACTCACCGATAGTCACTCGCTAGAAGCTCCTCATGGTCCGGACCTCGCTGCAAATGATTTTCATGTGTGCCTGTCACTTTTCACTTTTACATTTTCACTAAACCTTATTTACGGTTAAGAAAAATGTTTAAAAATTGTACCGATCGAGGGAAGCGGCGTAAGGACTTTTTTATTGGAAGCACCGGGAGTACTTAAATGTAGGAAAAGTGTGGTGCAAGCATTTTTTTGATATTGCTGGAGTATTTGGAGTGTGGCAGATGGCAGCGCATAACGACTTTTTTTAGTGTTTTCAAAAAGTTTCATCAAGTAATACATTCATATTCGCTTGCGAGTATATCGCACGAGATAATAAACGAAGTGCGCTTTAAGACAGTCCATTCGATGCCGCTATCACAAAGCTGCCATCAGAAATTAATACGCCATACATACATATGTATATGTATTGTACATTTATATATATATTTTAAGCACGGCTAACTCTTTTGTTCTTTTTGTTAGTATTTTATTGATTACAAATTACTGGTGTGACATACTTGTATAGACATACATACATACAAACATAATACATTCGTATTCACACAAACAAAAAATATATCTTTAAAATCTAACAATTTTATTATTTAGTCGGTAACTGTTGTGCTCACACACCGCCAGTCATCGAGTGATCCTCCACCTGCATCCTCCATCCAACGCACTTCGGTTTGGCCATTTTGTGTGCCGCCAACGCAGTATTTCAACCTTAGTTTATCATCATTTGAAATAGTCAACTCCTCTGCTTGTTTTCCTTCCTTCAATTATTCTTTCTTTTATATTGTCTAATATATTTTATGAAAAATTAGCGTTTTGTTTACATATTTTCCAGCTCGTTCGGTATTTTCCTGCGTTGCTTTTTATTGTTATTGCTTTGTTGTTGCGTCTTTCGTTTTGAGTTTCACCTTTTCAAGTGGTCACTGCAATGTGTTGTTTGGCTGGCGTTACTCTTTTGTTGTTCTGTTTTTTTTTTTGTTGGTTTCAATAAAATATTTTCTATTAGTATCCCTCGAGATTTTTATCGCCTGCCTTAGTTAACAATTATTAATTGGTCATAACATTTATCAAATCATATTTTCTTTATTACAGCCTCTTTTTCACTCTATTCACGAAGCGGTCCGTTCAGACTCTGCTCAACTCCATGAGGATGAGCCTTCATTCGGTTGGAAAATGATTTTAATAAATGTGTAAGTTTATTTATTCAAATGTACATACAATCATATATACCTACCTATGTACATGTCACCCCAAAAATCAGCATAAAATTCTCATAATTTCTTTGGCTGCCTGATTGGCCTTAAATATGTTTTCATCTTTTCTTCTTCACGAGATATTTTAGTAATTCCATTTGGAATATCAGATAACTTTGTGGCGCACTAAAGAGCCGCCTTGGTATTAGATAAGGATCTGAGCATGAAATCAATAAGATATAACCTAAAAAAAATATATTACATATTATATTATATAATGAGAATGCATGAGAAAAGTTTCAAATTATCAGTATAAAAGTCTTCTTTGAGCATAAGAAAGCTTCTGAAATCAGAGACATTTCCGGTTATGAAAAATATTGACTATTTTCAATTCCATTTCATTGCCTCATCATGATTATTATTTTACATATTTTTTTGTTTGTTTCTTCACGAAACATATTTTTACGAGAGAGTTTTCTAAACTTAATGCAATTAAAAAAAAGAGATTTTTATATACATACATACATACATACATACGTGTAGGTATATATATTTATAAACATCAACTGTCTAGAATCTAAGTGCTTTCAGAGAAAACCTTTTGTTGTACGCGCGAATTCAAACGGTTAACGCAGTTTTTTTGACAAGAATGAACTCCACAAATAAATAAACATCGAGTAGAGAGAGACATCATTGTTTTTCAAAGACAACACAAAGTTAGACGAGTCTGCGTGCCATCTCTGGCTAAGGTCTGCCCCCTTAAAGTATACATAAACAAAACTGAGCGCAAATGTCATTTGAAACGTTTTTTCAAAGCTAACTTTTGAGTTACAGTGTTTGTGGAGTACAGTACTCAAAGCTAAAAGCTCGTATTGTAGAGCACGACTAGCGTAAGTGTATATAATATTTTTCTTGAATATGAAATTACGATCCAGAAAAGTTATTATTCGGCTTGTGCAGCTGAAAAACGCTGGCTACGTAAAGAAGCGCGACGTTTGGGCGCCACATAAGTTAACGCCAAAAAAAAAAAATTGATTGACCCTGTATAACGAAAAGCTTCTGAAGGGACTCATTGCGGGTGAAAACATAAAACGAAAAAAAATCACGGCCAGAGGCCGGTGATCCTTCACAAACGACTTCGCAGCCTGTAATTATGATAAACAGAGAGATGCTGAGTATACGGTGACAAAAAAGTTCGACCAAAAGCTGTTTCAACCTGGCGAAATGATCAATTCTGATCTCCACTATCAACAATTAACCAGCTCAAATCAAGCTCTTCAAGAGTTTTGATGTAATCGTTCGCCGGGGGACTTTTTAAAATTATCAATACGTTTTCTGGTTTTATTGGTTCATTTTTCGTCAGTCAATGTTGGTTTAAATATTCAAGTAGCAAAAATTCGATAGTAAAAAGCCAAATAACATCGGCACCAATATTGTAGGGATGCCGGAGTAAAGGCCTTCTATCGTTTTCACAGAATAATCTAATCGATTTCAACCGAGCACTGTTCATGGCTCAATGTGACGCTGTGGTGCAGCAAAAAAGAAGATCTGTTAAGGTATGTAGATGATTGAATGGCTCGAAATCAAGGCAGCAATTTTGGAATGCAGATTAAAATGAGACACCTAACGCGAATTTTGTGTTTCTTGCCTTGTTTTTCCTTGAAAGATGTAAGATTATGGTCAGCGCCAAAATGCCAAAACTAAATCTTCATGACGAAAAATAACCAAAAAGGGTTGTGGCTGCTCAACTTTGTCGGAGCCCGAAATTTAGATTTATGTAATTTATGTAATATTTATGTAAATGGTACACCCAGCTGGTTGACGAGAATTAGTTTGCCGTAATGTAGAGAAAATACTGGTTAACTCGCAATGAAGCGATCCCGGATTAAGCGAGACGAATTTGCAATCATACAAAAAGAGTAGCCCCCAAATGGTATGGAAAGGTGCGAGGAATCACAGAAGATTTCTAAACCAAAATATGCTTAAGAGATGATGTAACGATCGATCTTTAGGGCATACTGAGGCTATCGTGCTTAATTGAAATGATTAAGAAAGCAATGAACATGGCGAACACGAAAATCGAATCGTACAAGCCTCCGCAATACCCGGCCAATCGATATATGTATTTATGAGGAGCTTTTATTTAATGTTAGAAATACCTGCCGCTGCGAGAGAAAAGCAAAACCAATTTTTTTTTATTTAAATTTATTTGCTCCCTAATTTTTGGATGTTACGCGAACCCTGGCGTTCCGAATGCCAGTACGTACTGCTAACCACACTTTTGTCGTGTTCGCCGACTGTATGTTAGTGTATTTAAATTTTTTGAGTTTTTTTTTACAGAGAAAAAACGCATGCAGATACCTTAATTTTACGCAGAACACACTTTAACCTTATTTTCTTATTGTTTAATCCTGGGAAACATTTTAATTTCTGTTTATTATAGCACTTTCTTGGTGTCCTTCAAACGTCCATGCACTTTTCCTTATTTCTATACGATACCAATTTGTGACATATTTGCCAGCAATCATTGCTGTATACATACATTCATACATATATGCACATTCAAGGGTAATGGTCGATATAAATATTAAGTGAAATTGTTTTACACTTAACCCTTCCGGGAAAGTCAAGCATTAAGTCAAATTATTTCGAGATCATATACGCACACACACACACATACGAGCACAAGACTAGTTGGACAAAAAATATCTACCGTGTCGAAATTGAAATTTACCATCTTTACAAATGCACATATATAAAAAAGAGTAAATTCCAAAAAAAAAAAAAAAAATATTTCCAATATTTTCCATACAAAAAATATATGAATGCTGGAAAATCTGTTTAACCTTGGTATGGGCAATGTAACACAGCGACACACCCGAAGTCATAAAATCAAATGGTTTTTAAGCAAAAATGCATTTGAGGCGTAAAATAGTTGGTTGTGAAAACGTATGAAATACATATTTTTAGTTGTGAAACATTTGTATGTACAATTTTATATGTACGAGTGTTTTTTTAGACAAGAAGAAACAAATCACATATAATTTTATGATATTGCCATGAATTTGGCTTTATTATTAGATGATAAATCCTTCGCCGGGGCTGGCTTCTTCCGGTGCTTGTATTCAGATAACACGAAATGAGATTTTATAAATGGACTATTGGTAGATCGTACTGTCCAATAATTCTGGATGTCTGAAAAAAGAAGTCTGATGAGGGAAGGTGCTGGTTTCCGAAAGAGCTGCTATATCTTCTACCGTCCAAACTGTAATTTCTTCACTATTCCCAAAAAATATACGATTTGGGACAGCTTTATAAAATTAAAACCCAAAAGCGATTATTTTTTATGAAAAATTTACTTCATTTGAAAATTTCAATTTGAAATTATTACTTTCCGCCCTCCTCTAATCGATCTGAAAACCATTAAATTATAATTACTGAGATAACTGTAAAATATGCAGGTAGCAGATTAACAAACCAATGCTCGCGAACGTGTCGCAAAACCGCCGATAAACTCTGCAACCTTGACTCTTCCAACGCTAATGGACGACAGACCACTGCTGTTGGGTAAACAGAATTTGCAAAGTTAATTTCGACGTATATGACATAATAGCAAACGTCAATCGCATTTTTGACTAACGCTTAGAATATTGCTAATTTTTTTCGTTTTCTTTTTGCAACACAAATCCACACATTTTCGGCTTGTCTAATTTGCGACATCTTTTATTATTTTTATTTTTGAATGAGCGAAAATGTTCAATTGTCCAAGAGCTAGAAGCGGAACTAAATTCAATACATACATATACATAAGTATATACAATAAGTACATGATAGTAGGAATCTCACAAGGACACGTTTTGTGCACGAAATGCGAAGGCAATTATTTGACTAGCCCTAAAACACAAGGCCAAAAATGGTATGTTTTGTATGCCACATTTTAAATCTTTTGTGCTGTGCATGTGTGTGTGCATGTCGTATGGATGTTGTGCATATTTTACAAAGGTAATAACTATGCTTGCAGCAACAACATACTGTCGCAAAATATCCTTTTTGGTCCTGACATACCTGCCTCTCAGTAAGTATCCGTGCGTCAAAGTCAAGCCTCAAGCAAATATACAGTCTGTAACGGTGAAAAAAGAATTGACTCTCTTCAGCAACGGTTCAACCTACCAGGAATCACATGCTATATAATTTCCATTAGCTACGCTAATTTTGATGTAGTTTGGTGCGTGTTGATTTATGAGCCAGTGATTTTTGAATTCCTGCGAAGAGTCTGTTTGTTTGCTTGTGGGCAAGATGTCCTTTAATTTAAAGTTAATTTTTCGGGGTTCTCGAATTCCATGGAAAGCAATAGATACCTTCGATTATATCGATGGAAGGACAGTAAAAAATTAAAATAAATTTTAGATATGGGTATAAGAATACGAACGAAGCCGAAAAACCCTAGTTTGATCTTCACTGGCTCGGGCTTTGGGATCACTGAAGCACCGACATCTATATGCTACTCGTTTTTTTTTCAACTCTTGACATTTCTTTTATGGTATGGGGTCATATAGCGAAAGAGAGTTGTGATCTGATAAGTGGACTAGGTTAAGCTCGTCTATTGCAATCAGTTTCCTCACTTATTTTCAAATCATAAGCGGTTGTCATAGCAAACCGGGTGTTTACCTGTGCGTGCTGTCATACGCAGAATCATGGGTACGAGTCTTGGCTGGATAATATTCAAAATTAATGAAAATTGGAATCTATACCTTTAAGTACCTGAAATGATATAGAACCATCCGATCGGGCCGTCAACGAAGCTTCTAAGAGCATGAAATACACGTATATGCAAATGAGCATTGACATCGAAAATCGTCGACATCGGTGGACGATATAACATAGCCCTATCAGATATGAGAATCAATCAATCAAACCGAAAATCCCTAATTGGTATTGTAATTGGATTTTTTGCGCGCCAAATGGGCAGTATTGGGTTTCTGTTAATTTGCGACTAGTTATAACAAGCTGATACGTCACCTTCCTTCAAACCTTTGCATGGCTCCACAGGAACGTAGATAAACATCTGCCTTTCTGCTATTGCTTCTACCGCGATTTTTACTATTTGCGTTGATGTTGCATCTAAAAAATAAATAGTTATAAAGACTTACACTTATCCTGAGCGGTAGAGGTAGACACCCACATGATTTACTCCTGACCTCGGACTCGT